AATTATTAGAAATAAGTCCGCGTTTTTACTCCATACCTGAAAATAAAATAATAAATATTAATGTTAAATAAATAATAAACAGTTATATTTTATAAATTTATAAAAAATAATATAATATTTTGTTATACTAATAAAATATTGTACGAAAATTATAAGACTACAATATATAGGATAATTCAAAACGAGTGTAAAAAGCTTTAAGAATATTTGATTTTGCTTTTGCATTCATAATAATCTCTTCCTTTTTAAATGAGAAAAGAATATATACCATATATATATATACACACACATATATAGTAAAATGTATTACTTAAGACTCACAAGGGAACGTCTTACATTGTTTAGGCTGAAATAAAAAGCGACTATTACCAATAGGTTAGGCATGTCTAAAGATGAAACTATGCCAAATATTAATTCCCACTGTGTACCAGGATTCGAGTAATCAAGTTGCAAAAACGGTGCTGTGATGGTACAGTTTGGGGTATTGTTGCGCCTACTTTAGTGACAATAAACAATTTATACAATAACTTTATATATATATATATATATATATATATATATATGTATATATACACATACATACGTGACCCACATGATAACAATGTATTGAAATTATACTTTATTGCTGTCTATTTTTGGATGATATTAAAGTTAAAATAATTTTGAAAAAGAATTTAATTACATACATACCATACTGGCCATTATTATTTACAATGTGTAGCTATTTGATGGGCAGCTTATCAATTCCGGGCGCAAGACAATTTTTATTTTTTTAGTACGGTGGATCAACTGTAAATAATTATTACACAGTTATTATATATAAAAATAAAATATATATGTATTTTATTATACAAAAGTTCATGAAGATCAAAAAATAATATATAATATATAATATATAATAAATATATAAATATATAAATATATATATATATAAATATATATATATATATATATATATATACAGGGTGGACCATTTAAGTTGATAATGTGAAATATCTCAAAAACAAAGCGTTGGAAAAAGAAATGTTTTAAATAAAAGTAAATTGACTTTAAGGGGGAAAGCGAATTGCATGATTTATGTTTTATTTGGAGGATATTTTCAAGGTCATTTAAAGGTCAATCTAATTTTTTAAAATGAAAATCTATATTTTTTATTTTTTATTCTTATTTCTCGTAAAAATATAAGCAACTTTTGTAGGAACCATTTTTCAATGTAACACTGTAAATTTCACAAATATTTGAAAAGTAAAAATTGATAAAAGAAAGTAATACCGTACTGTACTGTACAATTTTATAAGCATCCGCTGTACATTTTATTATTATTAGTTGAAACAAAAAGATATTAACATAATTCAATTAGATTATAATAAATGTTCAAAGTGATGCCCTTCTACCTTAATGCATTTTACAATTCTTTGTAGAAAAGATTGATGTGTGCGTAAAAGTGCGTCTCTTTCAATATTTGCACAAGCAGTTCGTATGCGCTCTTGCATGTTTTCTAGAATCGTTAGTTCATCGATGTAAACTTTATCTTTGAGATAACCCCATAAGAAATAGTCTAGGGATGTAAGATCAGGAGATCGAGCTGGCCAATGGCGTACTGGACCTCCGCGTCTTATCCAACGACCAATGTAATTCTGATTTAAAGCATCTCTAGCAATACGTGCATAATGAGCAGGGCATCCGTCGTGCTGGTACCACATGGTCTGCCTTTCTTCTAATGGTACATCTTCCAACAGTAACGGCAACTCTTCAGTTACAAAGATTGTGTACATTTCTTCTGTTAATGTGCCATCGATAAAAAAGGCCCAATTACTTTTTCTCCCAAAATTTTACACCACACATTAACAGACCAAGATCTCCGATGCTCCACTTCTTTTAACCAATGTGGATTTTCAACAGCCCAATAGTGCATGTTATGCCGATTTACTTTACCATGATTGGTGAAAGTATATTTGTCACTAAATAATACGGATAGAAAAAATTATTATTCCGCATTATATCTTGTGCCCATTTACAAAATGTTATTCTATTCACAAAATCGTCACCATGTAGTTCTTGATGCAACGACACATGGTATGAATGGAATTTGTGCCGTTTTAATATTCTAAGAATACTGCTTTTAGAAATTCCTGAATTGGTAACTAATTTTCGGGAACTTATACGAGGATCGTAATTCACTGCAGCTAACACTGCAGTTTTCTTATTTTCGCCGATAGCGGTTCTTTTACGGCTCCTTTTTTTTGGCTGAACACTTCCTTCTTCTGAAAACTGCTTTATAACACGATAAAATGATATTTGTGATAGAGTTCTTCTATCAAGAAACAAGGTTCGGCATACAGGAGAATAGACTGTTGCACATTTCTTCTAGATTCTCCATAAATAAGAACCATTTTAACTTCTTCCTCTACAGATAAACACTCCATTGCTCAGTCTAAATAATGGCAATAATTACTAACAATCGAATTATTGAAATTGCCAAGAATTATAAATAATAAGTAGAACAATACTCTTCTATTTGACACTCTGGCATATAATGTTTATTAAATTGCTATGTTTCGACCTCAATTTTACGTCCTTTTCAAGCAGATCTAAAATAACAATAAAAAAATATAGCAGCATAAGTTCATCTAAAATACAATCAAGTACGCAGAAAAAAGAAATAATACTCACATTATGTAGTAAGTAATAACACGATTGGTCAACAGTGGAATAAATTATTAATAAATAAACACATAGACGCAAACAAACTTTGTTCAAAAATTAATAATAAATAAATTAAAAATGAGCTATTGCCGATGTCAGGAAACGTGTTAGATCGTACGTCCGAACGGAATGGCAATACAAATAACTAATAACAATGATAAGCCCGATGTACACAAAATAAGTCATACCTTAGAAGAAACTTATACGCTGTGTCTAAGTATTGTATAAAAGGACGACGTGGAGAATAAAACTCCTTATAATAATTACTAACACTACCAGCAATCTAATTGAATTATGTTAATGTTTTTTGTTTTGACTAATAATAATAAAATGTACAGCGGATGCTTATAAAATTGTACTGTACAGTACGGTATTACTTTCTTTTATTAATTTCCACTTTTCAAATATCTGTGAAACTTACAGTATGTGCTAAATTGAAAAATGGTTCCTACAAAAGTTGCTTATATTTTTACGAGGAATAAGAATAAAAAAAAAAATATAAATTTCTATTTTAAAAAATTAGATTGACCTTTAAATGACCTTGAAAATATCCTCCAAATAAAACATAAATCATGCAATTCGCTTTCCCCCTTAAAGTCAATTTACTTTTATTTAAAACATTTCTTTTTTCAACGCTTTGTTTTTGAGATATTTCACATTATCAACTTAAATGGTCCACCCTGTATATATATATATATATATATATATATGTATTTATTTATTTTTTATGTTCCTTTTGTATGTTTCTTTCGTAAAAAATTCGAAAATTTATATTATTTATTATAAAAAATTCAAAATTTCATGAAAAATGATCACCGATCTTCATTAAATTTAATAGCAACCATTCTTTATTCTTTAATGATACTCTATTCAAGTAAAAGAATTTACCTCGATATGTCAAAATTTATAGAAGTTAGAACAATTACAAACATTTATCGAAAAATTAAAATTGCATTAAAATTTAAAATACTATATAAATTTTTATAAAAATGGTAATAAATAAAAGTATTGTACTATTTTACTTGTATGCCAAAGTGGAGTATTATAGCTCAAACAATTCTTGAAACGTTTAAATTTTCGGGAACATACACACACATAGATATTTTTTAATGTGATTTTTTGATGGTTTGGAAAATTCTGAACACATTATAATATAATATGTAATTAAGTTTTATATAAAAGTATTATTATACTTACCGCGTATCTTTCGAAGTTTGCACTCTTAAAAATTCTTCTTCGTAATTATTTTCTCTTATTTTATTTTTGTATTGCACTGTCAATATAACCTTCGCGATGTTAAATGACAAATAGTACTTAAATAACACGAAGCATGTAACACCGTAAAAACCAATCAGAGCGACGGAAAAGAAGCAACAATACACTTCGAGACTTTCGAGAGGCCTTCGATACATTCGAGAATCGACTTAACATGCCTTTTTTAAAGAAGGACTAGCACGTAGCGCGCGCTGACGCGTGCGCCATCTTCAAACTTTAATTAATTAATTACCTAAATACTAAATTAATTAAGTACAATATTTCGGTTTGTAAACTTCTCAATTTCTGCTTTGTTTTTAAATATTAAAAACCGACAATTACTCGTATCACCGCGCGATTTATACGGCGCTGACTATATTTCAATTTATTTAAATAGTTATATAATTTTGAAATTTAATTAAGCACAATTTCTCTTAATGTTCTTAATGTCCCTTTAATGTTCTTAATGTTCTTTTAATGTATTTTATTAATTAAAATAAAAATCGTTGTTTATAATTAAAATACTGTAAAATGTATTAAATGTGTACTTTTTATAATAATTTTATAAAATGGTATAAATATTATCCTTTAATTTAAAAAAATTAAATATATATAATACAATATAAATAGGCTATAAGAAAAAAATTAAAATTGTTTAGTTAGTTTTCATTTTCACTTCAAATACGATTAAAATAACAAAATAATTTCTAATTTTTAATTAAAATAATTTAATTATTAATCTTTAATTAAATAATAATCGTTAATTAAATTAAATATTTGAAATAAAAATCTTTTAAATTTTTATTTGTTTTATTATTTTTTATTATTATTATAACATAATCATATGTCACATATATATTTGTTATCTTTTATTAATCTAGTATTTCTTTATAAACATAGTTTTTGATTTTTTTAGTCACATTATTATCTTTTAAATAAATTTTCAACGAATCCCAAGAACAAACTCGTGAAAATGCGACATACAGTTGTCCATGACTGAAAATATCTTTTCAAAGATCTATTGCAATTTTATCGAAAGTCTGTCCTTGTGATTTATTTATGGTCATAGCAAATGCTAATTTCACTGGAAATTGTCTTCTTCTAAATGTAAATGGATATATATTTTCGCAATACAGAGTGATACGATTAATAAAAACAATTTCTCCAATTTTATTACCTGTTAAAATTTCACAACGCAATAAATTATTATCTAAATCTAAAATCAGTAATCTTGTACCATTACATAAACCTTCATTAACACTAAGATTTCTAATAAGTATGACAATAGTGTATTTTCTTAAACGTAATTTATAAGGTGGAAGACATAATGGATTTAAAGAATTGAGATATTCTATTGGAATTATTTCATGTATATCTTGATTATCTCCAGTCGTTTCAAGAGTATCTATACTTGTATAAACTCTCTCTGTCGTTTCGTCCAATAAATTTACTATCTTTTCGTTTATTTCATCAACATCAACA